TTTGTCAGAGCTAGGTATCACGTTACCTAACATCTATGGAACAAGATGGCGCCAGGGGTGGTCACCTCATTCTCTGCGCAGCAACAAATTGCTTTGAAACTTGCATTCATGTGATCAGCAGTTTACACAATGATGTAATCATTAGGCCACATTCTTCTGTTGGAAAATGATGAAGATATCGATCAATTTTCAACCGTAGCGCAGTTCAAAACCCGCTTTTTTTTCGCGTAAGGCACTAGCAGTGACGTAGGGGGCCACCGACGAACTGTCTCTTATTCTCGAATCACTGGGATGGTTAGTTAGTTGATCTTTTTTAGATCTAATGGTGGGAAAGTACCGAACGCCCTGATTCTTTGCTGGCACGACACGCCAGTGTCTTCGGTAACGTTAAGTCTACTGATACCATCATTTTATAAGTCGTGCAGAGTCATAAACTAGGCTACGAATTTCACCTTCTCTTTTTTTTCCGTGTTGCACTTCACGATAATGTTAAGAAGTTACAACAGTGTTACTGAGGATTGATGTTTTCTTTTTCTTTTTTTTTTTTGAAAAGATGGCAAATCGAAGAAAATGTTTGAACAGCAAATTAGATATTAAAATATCTGGTTTTTTTTCAATACTTACCAAGTAAGACTATTTTAGCTCACGAAAGTTCATTAGCAGTGAAGCAATGTTTTATATGGTTAAATTGAAAGGTGTCCGCTTATTACAACTCCCTTGTATCGAAACGACTTCATGTTCATCAGAAACAGGGAAGGTTTAGTGGTGAAAGGACTTGCACCTTTCTGGTCCGGTTTATTTTCCTACACCTTGCGTCTTATGTGGGCTGAGTTTGATTTCGGTACTTATTTTTTTTCGGAGCCATTTTCTCTCAGTGTTTTGCCCAAACTTCTGGGTTTCCTCTCTCCTAAACGGACATCCTCAATTCCAATTACTAGATGTAGAATCATTTCTTTAATGTGCCTTTTCAAATTCTTGTTTATTTCCTTCGTATGATTACTAGTTGCAGTGTTTTGATGTTTGTTTCACAGGCTAAAGGAACAATTTTCGGCAGGTATAGCTATAAGCCGGCAAGACCTTCACGAAGAATCACAAGGCAACCAGTAAAAAAAACTGCGAAATTTTTAGGATTTTTTTCTCACGTGACTATATATTTGGCTGAAAACGTAAGCTTTAGATTAAACATAGCTTTTTACATTTGTATAAGCTTTGTCACGATAAATTTCTATCGAGTTTTCGTGGTTTGGTAAGAATTTTTATATAAAACATTAAATTCTATTTTCAAAATGTCAATAAATATTTTGCCGAAAAAGAAACAACAAAGAATAGATGCTCCCCCCTCCCAAATTTGCAATATTTATTTACTATTGGCCACGTTTGCCACTAAATACGTTATAATGCTGAATAATTCTAATTTACCTCTTACCCCATTGAAAATAATCGGTAGTAGCTGCCGTTAAAGTGGAGCGCTTCAGTCCTTTAATCTTCTTTTCTATGTAAATAAAGGTTTGACCCTCATTACTTGGGATATATGAAAAATGTTCCACGTTAAAATGCATGGATTGCAATTTTTGTTTTCGTGCAGTTATCATATCTATTATAGTATTTATCACTAAGAGGAAATAAATTATCGAGATATTCACACACACTTCAGTTGCGTTCATAACTGTAGGACCGTATCGTAACTAGGGGAAAACAGTTTATGTCGAAAATTTTGCTGAGAGATTGAAAGGGAACCAGGTATTTTGAAATTTCCCGCGAAATAAATGGCGAAAGGGCGTCTTTTTAGACAAGTGTTTAACCTTTGCATTTGTTAACTCCATCCCAGGCTGTGTAGTTTTTTCGCTTCCAAATATTTTGGATTGAGATAAACACCACATCCCTTGGGATATATGTCAATATCGCTACAATTTCAGTTCTAGCACCACTAAAAGTAAAATGTGTATCCAACTGTATCTGATTAGAATCTCAGAAATTAAAGATTAAAGTAATTAGAGACCCTCCCCTCTGTAAATACATTTTTCCACTATAATATTAAAGTTCCATATTAACTATCGGCTTCAGAAGTTAAGGCGACCCTGTCAAGCTCACCTACCCAAGACGAAATTGACAATCCTTCCCCTTGGTCTGCCATTTGTTTGAGCTTGTAGTTCAGCCATTCGACCTCTAGCTTGAGACAAATTGGGGAAATTAACTGAATAAAACAAAGGCAAAAGTTTTGCTCTGACGAAGAGTCAACGCTTGAAACGTCACCTTCGAAGTTTTCTAAGGTGGCCTCAATTGATAAAACCAAATTATCTTGTTATACTCGTCCACCGACGCAGCACCAGTATCTTTCGAAACTTTCCCACTTTATTCATCTTTCTTAGTTTTATCGAGAGGTTTCGCTTAAGAGGACTTTCGATTAAAGAGGAAAACGATACCAACAGGCTGTTTGGACTTTGTAAAGGACGACCACTACTGCTTCCTAGAGGACTTTGACAGCCGACCGCTTAATAAAAAGGTGACCGGTTAGAAAAGGTCTACTGTACTTGTGATTTAGCGTGGACACGACCGGAAATATGCGACTGTCGCACAAGCTTGTAACAGAGCACAACAACCCGAAGAACTTGAATTTAGCGTGAAATACGGTGATTATCTTAGGAATTCTATCTGACAACGAAATTACTCTGAAACTCTAAAATAGCTCATATCATCAAAAGCAGATCTCCTTAATACATAAACAAGTACTGCGTAAATAAATGAATAATTGTTTGTTATTCTCTAAGGAAGAGAGCGTGACAAAAAGAACGCAAAGGTAATAAAAAAATGTAACTCGCTGTTGAAGGAAAATTATGAAGAAATTAAAGCATTGTTATTATCTAATGAGGGAAAACCATGATTGAAGGTATGCAAAATGGATTAAAAGCCTTGTCATTCAATCACACAAGATAAAAATAATATGGGCACTGGGTTATTTGTTATTGACTGAGTGGCCGGCCACACTGCGCATCGAGCTGCAGTAGTCCTTGGACTTACAACTGAAAAAACGTAAAAAAAAAAGTAGGTATGCTACATTTGAACGGTTGTGGAGATGTTCATTCGTCTTGTCTCGAGCGTTGGACAAAAGTAAAAAAATTGACAGTCCTCATGAGGACTCGAACGTCAAACCATTTGGTTTCTCGCTCCGATGTCTTACCACTGGGCCACAGAGACTCCACGATGAGCTATGCCATTTTAAGGACAATAGTTGACACGCATCTTACATACAGCTTCATATGAGAATAAGAACAAGACGAGACGGAAAAAATATTTTTAAATCACTTTGCCGTTCCCAAAATTTACCAAGGTTATTCGAAGAAGTTAATCAACTCTACAAAGAGCGATATGCCGCCCTAACTCATGGTAATTTCAAGAAAAATCCAATACCCCAGTTGCCTTGTAAAAGACGGCGAATTTTGGTATATCAGCTTATGTAACAGGCGCCATTGTAAATCAAAGTGCTCTGTGAGCAAACTCGTAAATTGACACATGATTTTTTTGGATTATGTTTAATGTTATCTGGTTTACGGAATTTTGTGGTTGATTGTCATATCTAGAGTACGAGCAGTAGTTCAGTGTTCGCAGCAAAGAAACAAAGTAACGTCGGGATAAGAAGGCATTACAATTGAAATGATCATGCTATTACATTTGACAAGGGTGGATGATGTCATGTGTTCTAAACGTATATCATGTTTGTTTCTGGTTCAAAAGAAAAGGTTGGAAGTAAATGTGGGTGAAAAGTGAAATTTACCGTCTATCATTGTAAATATTAGAAAACCAAGGCAATGCTGTCTTAATGAAAACATTAACGATTCCCTCTTTATCAAATGAGACAAACGGGAAAATTGTTCTTTAAAAATTCACTGAAAATCGGTAGCTAAAATGTTTTGTTTAGATGTTATTTGATTTTCGTGATAACAGGTAATTTTGTCAGTCGCCGGCATCTTTTGTTGCTTCACAGAGGAAAAACACACGATACGAAACGTAATGATCGATTTTGTCCTCAATCTCACGCCATAACAGAAAAAGCTTTGTAAACTCCGAGCGCTTCGCAGTAAGTAATATTTTCAATGAATCTTCGGATTGTTTTCAAGTTCAAGGATTGTAAATTACAATTTTATGAAAAACGAAGGTTTTTCTGTTATTCCAGTGTGAATCCTTGCATGCCTGCCAGTCGCTGGCGCCGCTTGTTGAAACTAAAACGAAAAAAAAAGACTCTTTTAAGATTATCATTGGCTTCTTTTTCATCCCACCACTATTCTTAGCAACAAAGGTCGCCATTTCGTTTGTTTGTTGCTCGCCAAAAACTATCAAATGCAAACAAAAGCCTAAAATCGAAAAAATGTTTACAGGAATCAACCAATCGAGCGAGCGAGTGCCATTCACCACACAATATCTACAACTCGCTCTTGCGCATGCGCGCAATTCACGAGTTAAAAACGGTAAGTCCGTTTTCTAGTTTAAACGAATAGATGCTTAAAAATCCGGTGTGGCTCCTGAATTTTAGTCCCCAAAAGAAGAAATACCACCTAACATTGAAAAGTATAGGTTAAGGGGCCCAAATTTCTGTCGCTTACCCTGCCGGCTTTTCTTCCTTCTGCAATTCTTTTTTTTTTTTTTACCCAAAGTAGGAGGGGGGAAAGGCGGGCCGTCCCCTAGATCCACCGATGATATGTTTTAACACAAGCACATTCCAAGTCGGACGCTTATTACCTGGCAAGGAGTTAAGGACACCGCTTAATCAAATAGTAACACATAATAACACATAGCTCCAAGGAACATTTCATTTATCTTCGAAAATATAATCAAGAATTTCCGTTTCAGCCTCGTTAGAGATTTTAGCCCATTTGAACTGAGTTCTCCCAAAAATTTCCTTCGATAGGTGTTTCATGTTCGAGACAGGAAAGTACAAAGTAGGAGATTACAGAAAACAAAAGGAAAATCTTTATTGCTAAACTGATAATATATAGCATCTAAATAGTTACCACTAGACCACAAAGCTAGTGCAGACAGTTCTGATAACCTGTTTCAATTGCAAAAGACATACTTGTATAAAAGCCACTCAATCATCAGTGGAACTGACGTCTAAATGGCAAACTACATTAGCAAATTTTAAAAGGAATCGCTTTGCAAGTAAATAAATTGAGTAAATAATAACAAGCCGTTAACAGAGTATTATGGCGGCAGACTTAAACATCATACTCATGATAGCATTGTCTGCCATAAGTCTCTCACGGTGAGGAATTCGAAAGTTTCCCCAGGGCGCTGGCGTTCTTTTCCAAGGCAGATACCAAAAATGATCGACAACCACCATAGTACTGCATTCCACGACTTCCGTAATTCGTACTTTACACTTGTTAAATTACGTTCTACACTCTAGTTTAACTTAAACTCTTATTTCAAGAGGGAGCTTCACTTAGAAGCCTTCATGGCTTCTTCAAACTTCCTCTCCTTTTCCTTTTCCTATTTTATATTTCCCATGTATTATCTATGCAAATTAGCTTTGTTCCCCTTTTAATATGTAATAAAGGCAAATGATAAATATCACTCCAAGCACTACAGTGTAGAGCAAACCGTCACGTTCAGCTTGTAGAAGTGAACACATAACGGCGGCACCAAAGTACAATGAACCATGCTCCATAATTGCTGAACAGAAATTCGCGATGAGAGGAGTAAAAATTGCAATTAGTGATTCATGGCTTTTTGGAGCAATTTTCAAACCAAAGTAATAAGAACAGCCAATAATAACGAAGTTTTGCATCGTTATTAGCCAATAAGGTTTCAAACTGCAGAAATTGGGGGCAAATGACCAGTGACGATTCTTTTTCGTTTGGCGTCTGATTTGTTTCGCACATTGTGCGAGTTTCTAGACCAATCACAGACCGAAATAAAGAAAACCAAAGCAGTACGGGATTACTTTTTACGCTCAGTTAAGAATTACTCTATATCAAAATTTCAATCGAACCATGAAAACTCGATAGCTATTCAGTGACTTAAGCTCATCCAAACCGAAAAACTTACGACCTCCTAAAAGCTATATCTCGTCTAAAGCTTTCTTTTCGGCTAAAACTATAGTTTCGTGAGAGAAATTCCTAAAACTTCGAATTTTTTTCTTTTTGCGTTCTGTTTCTTCGTGAAGGTCTTTCTAGTTTGTAACCATAGCCGCCGTCAAACTTTACTTTAGCCTGTAAATGCATCAAGAAAAAACAAATCAAAATTAATGAACAAAAATTTTACATTTCCCAGGGTATGGTTTTCCGCAAAGTGATTGGAATTCGGAATGTCAATTTAATGAGAATAAAAACAAGGAGAACCTGAAGAAAAACGCCGAGGGAAAAGGCGTGGATCAACAACAAATTCAGCCGACATGAAAAGCAAGGTCCTGGATATAACCCAGCCACAATGGTGGAAAGCAAGTGTTCTCACAACAATACCTTCCCTGGTCCTCAGGTACATTCAGCAAGTGTGATTCGTGAATACCTCTTAATTAAGTGCGTATGGTTAACAATGTTCTCCTACCAAGCGACTATTGTTCAAATACAAATAGCACATCTTAATATCGCTTAAGAACCAGATAAATGAATACATTATTTGCTTTCCGGACGTTTGTTCTGTTTTCATATTTTTAAACAAACTACAAAAGATCGCTCCAAAAAGACACTGTTTTAATTTCTAAAAAGCACTGAAATATATAAGAAGGAAACAAAAACTGAAGGTATAGCTTGTAGTTTATTTTATAATTATGCGAGACTCGTGAAACGATAACAATGGTACATTTCAAGTTACTAAATACACTGGTGTGTTTTTCCAGCAAGGAAGTGGAAGGCTTGGTTCATTCTCACAGTTATCTCTGAGAAAGATCAACTAACTAACCATCGCAGTGATTCGAGAACAGTTAACAGTTTGAGGGTTGACCCTTCCACGAAGCTGGTGCTTTTCGTAGGAAACATAAGGTTTTCGAATTTCGCGACGGATATTAATTGATCTTCATCATTTTCAAATTGAAAAGTACGTGTACTGTGCTTTTCCACTCTTACCTTGTATGGGCTGAAGACTGACATAGTGTACTTCATGAATATGTCCCAGTACTAGAGGCTTGCTTTCGTCAACAGCACCATGTGGCCTGATGTCTACATCATTGTGTATACTGCTGACCACATGAATGCACGTTTTAAAGCAATTTGCTGCTGCACAGAGAATGAGGTGATCACCCCAAGCGCCATCTTCTTCCATGTATGTTAGGTAATCAGCCCATGTTTCATGTTCATGGACAAAGTGACGGAGATCTGTTCCATCCGGCTGTAAGAAGAGACAACAATTAATACTTGAATGCCAAATAGCTTTTGAACAGGGCCGAGCACAATTTAAGGAAAACTCCCCAAAAATTAACTTCTTTACAGTAGAAAAGTATGTGAAAACTTTTTTAGCAAACGCAGTGGGTAGACAGCAAAAGCTAAGACAAACTTCCGACACAATCTTATATAGAGTGACTGTATTATCGAGCTCTAGGAGAAGAAACCTTACTGTCAAAGTGCCTCTCTCCACGAGTGGAAAAATTGTGAAGAAATTTTAAGGCCAAAGTGAAAAAATACTTGAAGATATCTGGTGTGAGAGTGACTGGTGTCCCAGCAAGGACGAGAGGCACTTCATGTAACGGAGAGAAAAATAGACACAGTAATTAAACTACTGATGAACTTCTAGTTCATTTACTTCTGAGCATTACAGCAACTCACCAGTTTTGGGTTTTCCCTGAGGTACTGAACTAAAGACTCTCTCAACTTGCCATGTTGGATTTTGATTCTTTTGACGATTTCTAGTTGTTCTGACAGAGCATGGAACATGCAGTTTCCTGACCCTTGATTGTCAGAAATTCTGAAGCCCTTATCTGATGAAATCGTCGCTAACTTCTCTGTCAAGGTAGTATTGTCGTTGACCGTGCTTACGCAGAGTTGCATCCGCTGAAGATTCTGGAGGGTTCGCTCAAGCACCCCTGGAAGTAAAATAATTTTAGGCGCATTTCCTAGAATCATACAATGCAGATGGAAGAGAAAGTCTCAGTTATGACAGAGAAAAAACCGAATTTTCAGTTCACCGTGATTATTTTTTCACCCACTGGGAACTCTTCCGGTATCACCACTGAAAGCTGCGTGAAACTTGTATATGATCTAGCTCAGCCCCGTGCTCACTGCTAGTGAAGCCATATCCGCCCAAATCAGGGCTGAGAGAGACACTTATCCAACGGGGTACTCTGATTTCGTTTCATGGAGGGCGCTACTCTCAAATGGACGAAATCTTTCCTTATTAGCAGGATCATGTATGGAAAAAAATTTCATGAGAACACAAATTGATCATAATCTTTACTGAGAGGGCCAGGCTCCTCTTTCAGCTACAAGGGAAGACTTAAATTAAAAAGTACGGCGAGGAGTTCGGAAGACAGGCCAATAACTTCATTTATTTACCAAACGCTGTCTTCTGATTCGAGAACGATAAACAGTATTGGAATAGGAAGTCGCGGGTAATAGTCTAGACTTGCCGGTTAACATTTTACATCCCAAGAAAATTAATTAAACTTGGGATGGATAAAAGTGGTTTTAGACGTTTCTTTTTCTTTTGCTTGTTCCTTTCTCACTCTTATCAGTTTGTACAAATCGTTTCCTTTTTGTTGCACAAACATTTAAAGATCTCCATCATGCTGTATTTAGAAACCTATTCCGAGGTAGAAAATTTATTCACATCAATGGCAGGATAAATTTGGATAACACAACGAAAGAAAAGTCTACGGAAAGAAATATAAAAATTATTAACATACCTACACCATGAACTTTGTTCCACATCAAATCAACGAGAAGGTCACATTGTTTCTCCCAGCTGAACTGCTTTTCATATGATGTCCTGAGTCGTTCAGTCCCTTGAAGACGCGGTGATCTCTTCATCTTTCGGACACCATCAATTGCCTCAGCCCACACTTTGGGGTCCTCAGAGTCAACCACAAAGGATGTGCCGAATGGTACTGTGCGCAGTGCATCTCCGAAACCCGAGTTTCCACTTACAAGAATGGGAAGACCAGCTGACAAGGCTTCCAACGCGGTTAAGCCGAACCCTTCCGTCCGGGATGGCATGATACAGAGATCGACTTCACAAAAACAATCTTTCAATTTCTCCTTACTTTGCAAAAACGTTCTCACTGTCAGCTGACGTTTAGAAATACCATTCTGCAGCAAAGTTTCCGTAACTGCCTCCTCTTTTCCATCAGGTGCACCCACAAAGATCAGATGGTAGGAGTTGTCATTCAGTTCAACCACTGCTTTAGCAGCGATATCATACCCTTTAAGACCGAAGTCCTCAGGGTCATCACGACCAAAGGTCAACACCCTAAACTTTTCAGAGTCGACTGGGGCATGATTTAGAGTAGAAAACTCTTTGAATGTGCCAGGAGTGAACGACATGATATCTTGCTGCTTCTCACATGAGCGAAGATAGGCAGAGTAGGCCTCCATCAACTTTGGTCCTACTGGTACAACTAGATTTGCCAATTTACACAAATCTATTTCGGCTGTAGTCTTCTCTCCTCCTCTGGCAATGGCTCCCGGATAAGTTTTGAACATTCCGAGCTCTTCAGGCGCAGTATGCACTACTTGTACCCACTGGCAACTATAGTACTTCCTAATGATTTGGGCTTGCTTACCTAACTTGGCACCATGACCCACAACCACGTCAATTTTCAGGTCTTTCGGAGGGAAGCTCAACCAGTCAAGACAGTCGTAGCCTGGACGTCTCTCTGCTTCTTTGATGACAATCTTGTGACTTTCTGCATCTCTCTTCACTTCTTCAGAACAAGCAGATTGTGGGACCAAGAGAGTGACTTCCACCTCGCTACGTTTGGCCATATGGATAGCAAGGTGTCTGTTGATGGTGGACAAACCCCCCCTTGATGAATTCCACTCACTAGCTAGAAGAGTAACTTTCAAAGTTTTGTCGCACTTTGCTGGGTGACCACGTACTGATGCAACTTGTGAGGTTCTTGTCACTGACGGAGCCAAATCCTTTTGGATGATGGCATCAAAACATTATTATAAAGGAAAAGTATGTCATTTTCCAAGTACGGTACATAAAAATCGTTTTAACTGAAAAAACCTACTTGTGTTAAGAAAACTCAATCTGTACAAATATTTTCTAAATTGGGTATTCCGATTCATACAACTGCCATTGAACAATGTTATCATAACAGCTATCATAATCTCTTCTTAATTGGTTTCCGTTACTACTTATGAAGATATACCAAGAATGCTTCTTACCTGGTTCAACAACCATTTCTCTTGTCCAGGAACTGTAAGTACTTTATTAGACGTGCTTTCCATACAGATCAAATCCTGACCTTGTCTTAATTCAAGCAGGTGTAAGCAGTCTTCTTCTGTACAGGACAATTGGTTGTGGTTTGTGCATTTGCGACCTCCTTGCTGACAGTAGGGGCATTCAACACAAAATTCATGCTGCATCCTGCTCAAGTATGGGAACTCCTGTGACATCTCTTTTAAACTTCTCTCTATAAACAATCGCAGCCTTCTAGCAACCTCTGCCAAAGTTGAATTAGACACTGGAACTGCTTCATTTTTCATTCTTTGTCTCAAGAGGATTTTTATGAACTTCTTCTTGCAAATCATAATCATATCATTAATCACGCGTCCTTCAAGAACGAACCATGCACCATTCTGGTAGAGTTTTGGAGGCTTTGATGATCCACTTGCACCACACCAAGCAACCGATCTTGAAACAAGGCGAGTAAAAAAGCCATGCGGGACAAACCCTTCTTGGAAATGAAGATACAAAGGACAAGGATCCGTAGAGGATGGCTCAAATTTACAAAGATCTTCAGGCGAGGAAGTCAGTTGACATGGTACAAAGTACTGAACGTCAGCCGGAGATGGTGAGTATTTGGCAATCAAACAGAACTGCTCCATCATGTCCAAGATGTCTTCCTTGTTAACGCCTTGCTGAATAAGAGGGGAAAAAACGTGATCAACAAGCTCCATCTTAAGGACACCACTTGTCTCGAGTTCCAGCCAGTACGTGGAATGCACAGGATCCTGAAACCACAAATTCCCTATTTAAAGTAAGTTCAATCTACCAATTTTTATTTAAAAATGCCCTATTTAATTTGCAGGGGACCAAAAACATCTCCCCTTTCCTCAGTGAGTGGCAAAAGAAGTTGGCAAGCCTCCAGAAATGAGACAACATGATAAGAAATATCTTGTAATTCATCTATAATTAGTTTATTGAATTTCCCCCTTACCTCCCCAAACCCAAACAATGTCGTAATAAATTAGTGCCCATTTCGTCAATATAAGGCAATATTTAAATGAGGGAAAGTGGGAGACACATGAAAGTTATGGAGAAAACTCAAAATGTTGCAAGGGGTGTTAACAACGTGAAAAAACAAACGAACAAACAGTCAATTAAATTAACATTTTTTCGTCAAGCGCAAGTTGGGGAAGGTAACAAATCCTGCCTACGATCTGCAATCATTTCGATGCATAGAAGATTATCTTTTCCTACCGCTTTTTCGAATGCTGGAATGGTTATAAGCTTCTTGAATAGACTGATTAACCACTGTGTCTTCAGAATGACTGTACTGCGGTGTTTCACAATCAAACCTAAGTCGTGATAGAAATTCAACATGGTGTGAAACTGTTCATCGTCTTCTATAAAACATACATCCTTGGCAATGGTTTGAAGATGGACAGTATTTGAGTGGTAAACATTCTCAGCTACCAAAGCTTCAATGACCTTTTCGAAGTTAAACCATCTAGAAATATAAAAAATTTATAATTAGTCTAACTTACAGAAAGGTATACACCAGATAGCAAATTGCATGTAGCAAAGTTTGGAAATTTCTAAATGAAGCTTTAGAACATGGCCTAATAGCAGGTTGAGCGTCTTTTGAGGATATATTACATCCACAATTAATGGTAGCATGTTGTTAAGTACTGAAAAATTCGTCGCCTTGAAAGCGCTTTACGCCTGCTTCCCTACACGTCGAGTTTGCTACATTTCGCTTCTAACATGCCCAATTCGCTGCCTCTGTTAATTCACAGTTTTAATTTCTCTTTTAACCATAAACCACAAGCAATATCTGTAATTTATACTCCCAACTGCGTGATTGCCGTTTTTAGGAGTCAGTTAAACTGATCATATGCAAATTTCCTTCTTGTGTGCTTTAAACCGCTACTTTGATTTTTTGGATTGTTGCGAGGTTACGTTTCACAAGTAAACCTGATTGTAGGGTGGAATGAATTGGCAAAGTCAACAAAATTGTAAGCGTCTTTCATAGAAATGTTCCACAGTGAAAATATGTCATCAATAAATCTCTTCCAGACCAAAGGTTAGAGGGACTAGCCATTAACAGCCGCTTTTCTAGGTTTGCCATAAAATGGCAGAGAAAGCTGTTGTTATTATGCATATTTGACCGTTGTTATTTAAATTTAATTTTGTTTCACAGGAATTATTAATTTAATTTATCCTTTTGTTATTCAAGCTCTTTTTTTTAATTAGCATATATATATGTATTTTGTTCTCTTTCCTATGTTGTAACAGTTTTTGTGTGAGCAGAATAAAGGTTTTAAATTCAACAGGTTATGGGCCCAGGAGTACGTGAATGAAACATGGAGGAAAAGTGGTCGATCGACAAACTCAACGGGAGCAATTGGAATACTTGGAAATTTCAAATGAAACATTTACTGCTGGCGAAAGGATTGCGGGGCTTGGTAGAAGGATCAGAAGTCCTTGAAGACGATGCCACGACAACGGCACAAGCGCTTTACCGATCGAGGCTACAAAAGGCATTCTCGACAATTGTGTTGGCGATTGATAGCGCTCAGCTTTACTTGAGAAGCTGAAGCGAAGAACCAAAGCAAGCATGGGATGCGTTGAGGAAACATTTTGAACGAGAGATACTCGCGAACAAATTATTTTTAAAGAAGAGATATTTTCGCTCCGAGATGAAAGAAGGTACACCGGTGGAACAACATCTGAAGCTCATGAAAGATATCACCGATAAACTTGTGGCAATTGGGGAGCCCATTTCCGTAGAGGATCAATTTGTGACTTTGTTTGGAAGTTTCGCGACCCTTGTCACCGCTATCGAAGCAAGAGTGGATGGAGTTAGCCTGGATTATGTTCAGCAAGCACTCATTCACGAAGAAATGAAGCAATCAGAGCTATCCGGTCAGTCGAATGAAGCTGAATCAGCACTTACGGGGACTTTTAGGAGAGATACGGCACACAAGCGGCCATCATGTTTTGGATGTGGTGCTGTGGGTCATGTTCGCCGTAATTGTCCAAGCGATCCGTCCCGTAAGCAGTTAACATGTTTTTAATGCTGTGATGTGGGTCATATTCGCCGTTATTGTACCAAGAAATTTAAATGGCACAAAGCAAAAATAGTCGACAGTGACGAGCGCCGACCGAAAAATTCTGACTTCGAGGGTGAAGATGGTTATGCTACTGCATTTATGGCGTCTGTTGAGAGCGTGGAGTCTACAAACAAAAATCGTTGTCCATGGATTATCGACTCGGGTGCATCAAGTCATATGACGTCAGAAAAGCATGTTTTGGTGAATTTTCAGGATTTTGCCGAGCCTGAAAATGTTGCGCTGGGTGATGGTCGTGTTGTGAAAGCGTTGGGATCAGGGAGCGCACGAATGAATATGCTGTTTCAAGCGACCGAATCCAAGAAAGCAGTTTTATATGATGTCCTGTACGTGCCTAAACTCACTTGCAACCTGTTTTCTGTAAGAGCTGCAGTTTCTAAGGGCAACGCCGTAGAGTTTGATCTCCAGAAATGTTGTATTCGGGATGAATATGGAAAGCTTCGTGGAATGGGATCACTGGTTGATAAACTCTATCAATTAGACTGTCAAGTTGCAATCACTACGGACACTGCGTACGTCTCAGTTGAGTCATCTCAAGGTAGCGACTTATGGCATCAACGTCTTGGACACGTACACGAACTACGCCTCAAGAAATATATGGAGAATGAATCTGTACGAGGGATTAACATCAAGAAAATGACTGAAATGTCCTTCTGCGAAGGATTTTTGGCAGGAAAGATGTGTAGAAAACCGTTCCCCGCAGTGGAAGAGATCCGCTCGACTCGAAGGCTACAGCTGGTGCACAGTGACGTCTGCGGTCCAATGCACACGCCATCGATTGGAGGAGCAAAGTATTTTGTTACATTTATCGATGATTACACTAGGTGCTGTGGTGTACACCTCATGAGACACAAGACAGAAGTGTTAGAGAAGTTTATAGAATTTGAAGCCTCAGTAACCAACGGTGCCGGAAAGGCGATAGGAACTTTGCGAACGGATAATGGCGGCGAGTATTTGTCTACTGAATTACAGAACTATTTGAAGGAGAAAGGAATTAGACATGAGCTGACAGTACCACATTCACCCCAACAGAATGGTGTAGCAGAAAGAATGAATCGTACTTTGGTTGAGTCGGCACGTTCGATGATCGCGCATGCGGCATTATCGGACATTTTTTGGGCTGAAGCTGTTTCTACAGCTACCTATGTGAGAAACCGCCTTCACGCGACGGTGCTAAAAGAGAATAAAACTCCTTATCAGCGGTGGTATGGAAGGAAAGCAGATGTGGGCCACCTGAGTGTATTTGGGTGTATGGCCTATGCCCACGTACCAGACAGTGAACGACGAAAGCTTGACAAGAAATCGAAGAAGATGCGCTTCGTGGGCTACAGCTTAACGTCAAAGGGATATCGTCTTTTGGACGAGACGAACCGAAAGATGTACATCCGAAGAGATGTGGAGTTTAATGAAAATGATTTCGGCCAGAAGCGAGTCATGACAACAGAGCCAGACCCAAGGTGTGAGGAAGCAGAGCAAAACGAAGTAATCCCTAGAAAGGATGAAGGAGAACAAGAAGAAATGAAGAATTTAGAAGAAGACTGCCCAAGGGAACCTCGACGGTCAGTAAGAACACGAAAAGCGCCAGTCAGATATAGTTATGACGAATACGCGGAAACGGCAACTCACCGCGTACACCATGTCGCCTATCATCTTGCTGGGATTGATGAACCTACAACTATACAAGAAGCAAGATCAGGTGATCACGCTGCAGAGTGGAAAGTCGCGACAGATTTAGAATACAATTCGCTGATTGAAAACAAGACGTGGAGGTTGAATTGCCTCCAGGTCGGAAAGTTGTTGGATGCAAATGGGTGTTTAAACTGAAGCACTCCTGCGATGATACAGTGGAACGATTCAAAGCACGGCTAGTTGCCAAGGGTTACACCCAGAAATATGGTATTGACTATGATGAAACTTTTTCGCCTGTAGTTCGTTTCTCTTCAATACGTTGTTTGCTAGCGTTTGCAGTTCAGAATGATTTCCTAATTCACCAGATGGACGTAGAAACAGCTTTTCTCAACGGTAAACTTGATGAAGAAATTTACATGCAGCAGCCGGAAGGATACGTGAAACCTGGGGAGGAGCATCTGGTATGCAAGCTAGAGAAGTCGCTGTATGGGTTAAAGCAGTCTTCCCGTTGTTGGAACAAAGTTTTTCAGGAGTGCATTGAGAAGATTGGTTTTATTCAAGCCTCTGCAGATCCCTGCGTATTCACCAGAAATGATGCATTAACTATAATTGGAGTTCACTTTGACGATCTGATGATTCTAGCAAGGAACATTACGCAGATGAGAAGTGTCAAGGACAGTCTAAAGTTGCAGTTTAAGATGAAAGATATGGGAGAGTTGCATTACTATGTCGGAGTCTGTATCGTTCAAGATGTGAAAAACAAGCAAGTCTTCCTTCATCAAGGGCACTACGTCGAAAAGATGGTCGAGAAGTTTGCGCAAACAGAAGCAAAACCGGTGTCTACACCTGCTGATTTGAACGTCAAGCTGCAAAAGGAAGATGGTTTCAGCAAACCGGTTGATGTGACTTCGTATCAATCGATTGTAGGAAGCCTACTTTATACTGCAATCGAAACTCGTCCAGACATTGCCCAAGCAGTGGGAGTTGTGTCGAAGTTCTGTGCCAACCCGACACAAAACCATTTAACAGCAACAAAGCGAACCCTCAGATATTTGAAAGCAACTGCATACCTTAGATTGAGTTACAAGAAGTGTGCTAATGGAAATCTAACTGGTTACTCAGATGCAGATTGGGCGGGTGATATGGATGACCGTCATTCCACTTCAAGAAACGTGTTCTTTCTAGCGTATGGGGCAGTAAGTTGGCTAAGCAAAAGGCAGGCTACCGTTGCATTGTCGAAAACAGAAGCAGAGTATGTAGCACTCAGTAAGGCCACTCAGGAAGCAATCTGGCTTCGAAGGTTGTTGGCAGACATAGGAGAACCTCCAGAGGGGCCAACTGAAATATAGGAAGACAACCAAGGGGCTATCTCGATGGCTAAGAATCCCGTGGGTCATGCTAGGACCAAGCACATCGATATACGTTACCACTTAGTTCGCGAAAGAGTACAAGACAGAGCGATCGCTATGAAATACATCGGTACAGAAGAGATGATTGCTGATATCCTTACGAAACCTTTACCTAAGCATCGCTTTGAGAAACTTGTTGCTAAGCTAGGCATGAAGACTGTTAAATAAGCAACGTCAAAAGTGGGAGTGTTGTTATTATGCATATTTGACCGTTGTTATTTAAATTTAATTTTGTTTCACAGGAATTATCAATTTAATTTATCCTTTTGTTACTCAAGCTCTTTTTTTTTTAATTAGCATATATATATGTATTTTGTTCTCTTTCCTACGGAATAAAGGTTGTAAATTCAACAAAAGCAACTGGTGTCTTAGTTTCCATGGCGATGCCATGTGTTTGTATGAAGAATCTTTCGTTGAACTTGAAAGAATTTTCTTCAAGTATGAGCCGCAAAAGTTTCCGCAAATCATCTGTGGGAATTGGTGAATTATGCTCATAATGTGAGCATAATTTACTGTGGTAGAATGAAGTAAGTAGCGAAATCGGCATATAAGTAACGAACATGTAGCGAACTTGAACGTAGCGAACTCGACAAGTAGCGAAACCAGCTATGAAAGCCACTCGTACGTTTCAGTACAGCTGTTGTTAGAAAAAATGAACTGAACATCTCTTGTGCTTATATCATTACACATCATACTTTACCTCACTGGTATCTTCTCTCCCATATAAGGTTCCTGTCGAAGTACTTCCAGGATTCTCGCTCGAAGAGCATGAATTCCATCGGCATCAGTGCCATCATTGTCTCCTTCTTGACCTTTCAATTATAAATTATGTAAAACAATTAGTGCTGTTGAGAGAAGCCAGGGAGGAACAGAGATTTCTCCTCGGACTTTCGATACGAGTTTGATGGCAACTAAGACCATGATCCCCTATTTCGTATTCGGAAAGGTCTATTTCTGCTGCAGCACTCTAAGTCACTTCTTCGCAATGTATTATAAATTTCACACTAATTTGGTCTGCAAAAACATTCGTTATGGTATTTACATATACAATCCAGGTTAACACAAGAAAAAAGGGAAAAAAGAGAAAATACATACAAAAAAAATTTCAGGAATAACGGGAGCACCAACAAGGTGCCAACATCAAAAGTAGATAAGTACCAAGATAGGGACAAAAGGATGCTAGGAATTAGACGTGGAAAAGCAACCGGTAAAAAATCTCCAGTGAATCCAATCAACTTTATCTAACGATGATTTTGTCTGTCCTCGATAGATATAAAATTAAACCCAACCTCATTAACCGATAAACACGTCATTAATCATCATGTTGAACCCAAACACATAATTTACCTGCTTGACGATTTCTTTGAAATTTAAAGAAATTCCGGAATTTCCATGCGAATGATTTGTGTCCTTGAGTGTTATCAATGTAGAAGAATGGTCGGATCACATGTTTTCCATATTCCTTACTGGAAATCTCACGAAGTATCTTGGATGAAACATCCTTCCTATCTTCATATGGCTTGTCAGCATGGGTGCCGACGATGAACACTGGAGGTCGGAGATAGGACAGCACGTTTGGCGTTTCAACCATTTCTTCTCCAGTTGGTGTCATATTATGAACTGTCACGAGCCACGACAGCAAATTCTCCAGATTGGTCTCATTGGTCGGGTTCTCCAAAGTTACTTCCTGAGTTCCTTGTCTGGCACATGGTTGAGCTCGGGCATTCAGTGGCTTGTTAAGGTTGTGAACCACGATGTACACAGCTCTTGACGAAAGAAATACCGGGTGAGCAGCATAGTACACATGTTGACCCGCAAAATCCCACACATCTGCGGTTATCGTGGATCCTTTCTTGCTGTTTGCACTATCAGCATCCACACCTTTCAGGACCATGTCCTTTAAGAGTTCATCAGCATGTATTTTAACGGCACATGCATTAGGAAGTGCGGTGGTATTGATAGCAATTTTGGGCTTTGTGCTTAGATTATCTCCTTCGCGATTTTCGCCTAATGGCCTGGATTTGTCGGGACACTTAGTGGCCAAATCCTCGTACACGGAAACCTAACATTTTGAAATAAGGCGAAATATCAATACTGTGGATACCAAATTCCGATAGAAATTACATTGTTGATGCATTCTCATTCACACAGCCGATGTCGATATCTATTTCATTATGTTAAAACACTGAAATGAGTATTTAATGTGTAAATCTGTTTGAGATCATTCATAACAAATCGGGTTTCACAGTTAAAACATTGTTAACAGACCTGATCGGCAACAACATGTTTTGCGTGCAATTCCCCTCTTGACTCCACGCTACGTTCTTCCTTGGGTAATGCCCCCACTGATTTCATTTCCGAATCTTCCATCTCATCACGAACAATCATGTGATATCTTTCTCTCGCTAACAATTTTGCTACAAATGTTGTATATTCCAAACTTTCAGACAAACTTGACTCGTTCGCACAACTAGGAGTCCAGTTCTGGATTTGCTTCACTTCAATTTCAAACTTTGACGGCTCAATTTCGACTCCGTCCGTACTCTGTTCCTGGTAGTCAAATGGCAGGCCTAGGAGAGTCTTTTTTAAGCTTGTTTTACCGGCACGATCCTGGCCAACCAATACTATGCGACCACGATAAACATTCACAAATCCATCTTTAAGGGCCTCTTCATAAACCAGCCCTGCGGAAGGTCCTTGCGCCAAAATTTCGGAAGGAGCTACAGCTGCAAGTGAGAGAAAAGGTAAATTTAATATTGTACTAATTGCCTATTGTAGAACAGCAAAGTGAGAAACATTTCTACAATACATCACGACCTTGTGAAAAGTGATACGTGAAACACGAGGAGCACATTACTGAAGAAAACTTCCATGAAAGTCATATCAACCGCCACAAGATTAAAGGTTCTTGATAGAAGAGAAAATTACTTTTTCAAAATTTTTAGTTAAATCTGTCACATAAAACTTCCTCAACATTTTCTTGTTGTAAAATAAGGATGGGATTTTCCATCTTTCTTGCATAATCAGCCTTCAAGCCAGGTTCTATTGTACCATTTTTAGCTTGAAATGCCTGCAAAAAGGTTTTTAAAGTTTTACAGTACACGAACACTGTATTCAACAAAAAAACCAGCCTGCTTCCAACGGTTAATCCTGCTTCAAGTGCAGACCCAGAGACTCTAGAGCTAGAACGATTACATGGCAAATTTGAATTAAACACTCCCACAAACTCTCTTGAAATAACAAAGGGATTATCAGACGAAGCTTGCAACGATACAAATTAGCATCAATCGGTGATCATAATAATTAAAAGAGTAGGTGAAGGTTACATTTCTAAGTGGACAATCGACTCTCTTTGTACGGACACCTCACCATTACGGACACCCCCAGCACCAGGCCCCCCCCCCCCCCGCGAAACGCATGAAGAAATGACTGAAATGTACTCTCGTTATTACGCACTCTCGCTATTACGGAAATGTGGACACTTTCATGCCCCCCAGTGCAACATTTCACTTGTTTTTTCTCCAGCCAGGGCAAGACCCACTG